CTTCGACTTTTCTGCACTCTGTATCTCTGAGGCGTACACTCTACTCCAGGAGCCCCATTTGGTGTAGAAGCCGGAACAGTTTGTAATAAATCCTAGTGCTTTGGATTCCTGATTTTAGCTATACTCAAAAAAACCTAAAGACCCTTGTCTGATGAGTACGGCACGGCCCTATACTACACACCTTATTGCCAGATCTGCTCCAAGCTGAGCTATCTAATGACTCTGACGAGTTAGGCTCTGCGGGAAACGGTCAATAGGTCCTTGCACTTGATGCACTTGAGCCCAAAGCTCTAAACCATCGGCTGGCGGCGGGAGGGGGGTGCGGGAACTTATTCCTGTTATTCTTATTGTTTTATTAAAGATGCCACTACTACTAGTACTACCACTATTATTTTACATTATTGTCGTTATTATTGTCATGATTATGATTGTTTTTGTTTTCATTGTCATAATTATTATTGTCGTTATTTAGCATTAGTATTGTCATTATTGCTATTACAATTATTATTATTACTACTATGATTATGATTATTAGTATGATTGTTATTAAAACTATTTGGCTTAGTCTTTTGGACTGCTTGTGCTGGCAGGTTTTCTCGGCCCTGGGGTGCGTGAGAGGCCCGCGCTGCAAGGTTCAGGGGCCTTCTGCAAATTTATTGGGGTTTGTTTAAGATTTCGGGCCTTAGGGTTTAGAGCTTAGGGTTTAAATTGGTTTAAGGGACAATAGGAGGGACCCCTAGAAGAGACCCCTCATCCTAATACCCTATATAACCCTTATATACCCGATATATATATATATATATAGTCCCATAAAGCCCCTGTAGAACCCCAATGGTCTCTTTAAGGGTCCTTCCTTTAGTCCCTTGATTGGTTCTGGGGATCAATGTGTATTACTTAGAGTCTTGGGTGTGCTAGGGTTGATGGTCCTGCCCGGATGCTCCACGACGTGGACTTCTGCTACGGTGACGTGACTACTGCCCCTGTTGCCCCCGATTTTTAGTCTCTTCGATTCTGCTCGGGATTTTAACTTTGACAGTTGCTAGGAGAGGCCGTCGGTCATTGCCGCATTGGTTTCTCTTCGTGCTATGGTTCGTCCTCTTCTTGGTTTCAGGGTGCTGCGGAGGCTTGGACTTGGACTTCAGAATTTGGGCTTTTAGGTGTGCGCACTTTCAGCTTCCATATGGCGGTCGGTTCAGACGGGGAAGCTTGCGCATCTAAGGAGGTGAGAAGCGTGAGGTTGACGTTTTTCTGCGTGCTTGTGTGTGCGTGTCTACATGCAATATATATATATATATATGGCACCCCCCCCCCCGGTACCTAGGTTGTCTCCTGTTCAAGTCAGCTTCCTTGTCCCTAATATGTGTTCGTGTCCCTTTGTGGCTGCGTCTCTGAGAAAGCAACTGTTTGTTAAAAATACTTTTGGTTCCCGAGGCTTCTAAGTTTATGGTTTACTGGATGTTTCTAAGTTTCTGGTTTGCTATGGTTTTTGCTCCCGAGGTTTCTCCAAATTCATGGACGCTGTTGGAAATGTTGGTAACACCGACATTTTCCATGATTTGTCTATAGAGAATCATGGAATAAAATGTTGGTTTCACCGATATGTATATATACATCTATATTTATATATATACAAACAAATAAATACATAAATATATATATATATATATATGTGTATTCTGTACCCTAAAAATATTCTACACCCCTCACCGCTGCGCCTTGGCCTTCGCCTTGGCCTTCGCCTTTTCTGTGGGGCGGCGAAGCCCTGGAAGGCTTCGGGAGGTTGGGAGCTGGCGGCTTAGGGTTTAGGGTTTAGGGTTTTTCGGGTTAAGGGCTTTAGGGTTTAGGGTTAAGGGTTTAGGGCTTTAGGGGTTTAGGGTTTTAGGGCTTTAGGGGTTTAGGGTTTAGGGTTTTAGAGTTAAGGGTTTAGGGGTTTAGGGTTAAGGGTTAAGGGCTTTAGGGTTTTAGAGTTTAGGGCT